TGACCAGATCCATTGTAACAACTGGAGACTTGAATTGTTCTGCATCTTCATTCAATTCTTCCTCATCATCAAATAAACTAGTATTAATTTCTATCTGTTCATCTATAAAATTATCGTTAATATCTTCATTTTCAAATTTTTTCAGTAAAGTATTCCAAAGAGTGCTCATCATCAGATAAATAATGCTCATAGTCAGGTATGAACTGCCTGAAATATAATTCGTTATATCATTAAAAGGTTTTAAAATTTTAATTATATTAGCAACTATACTCCACTCATCCTCAGTAATCATAATTGCTTTTAGACATTTTCTATTTGCGATTGCATCTTTCTCCTGCTGAACAGTAAGTGAACTTGCAAGTATTTTAATGTAAGGTTTGAGCTTGAGTATTCAAACCCATGTATTATATGTAGAATTCTAATAGATTACAATATCACTTTGTGCTTGCAACAAAGTATCCTGTATATAAATTAATTGTTAGTTATAAAATAATAATAATAATGTGAGCAGTCTAGTTGTATTAAATATTTTCACTTATACTCATTTCACTAACAAGTTGATTTCATCAACAAATTATTTTACTAACAGTTCATTTTACTGACAAGTTGATTTTATTGACAAATTATTTTACTGATAGCTAATTTCACTAGCAAATTTTTTAAAAACTGTATTAACCTTGACTTTAATTCTAGCTTGACTCTAACGACAATAACTAGAATTACTTTGTCAGTGAAATAAACTTGTCAGTGAAATGAGTATGGGGTGTCAGTGAAGTGATATTAAAATGAAAAGAACCAGTTTCGAATTGACTTTAAATTTACCTTTTCTCTATTCAATTAATGTTGTGTTTGAATTGATGATTGTATTGCCTTGAGACATTCACTTTGTTTAGATGCAGTAAAAAATTTAATCAAACGTTTCATCTGAGTAATTAGTGGTTTAGTAGGCAAAAGCCTCTTTTGCACAATCAGATTCAATATATACGCAGAGTATGAAACCCACTTAATACCAAGTTTATTACATGCTAATTTAATATTTGTCTCACTATCAGTTGTAATTAAAAAAACTCTACTTTTTAGATTCTAATATTCAAAAACATCTTCAATATATTTCGCAATTGCATCAGTAGTATGCGAATATTTAAGAGAAGTAACTGCTAAAATAGCTTCATTTAGTTTGAACATTTTATTAATCCACATTATTGTTATGCCTAAATAACTATTACACGAATGCACTATCCATAAATCTGCAGTTAATGATACAGTTTCAGCTTTATATAAGTCATCTCGCAGATGAGAGCAGATTTGTTCAAATTCCTCATCAATTAGACTCTTAATCTTTCTCCTACTTGGTACAGTCTAACATGAGTCTACAATTTTTGAAAATCACTTAAACATTTTATCTTCTGTAAATGAAAATATAAGATTTTGAGAAATAATAACTTCAATAATAGCCCTATCATGAATGGTTTGTTCAGTTATGCTATATGGCTTCAATAAAGAAGCTTCAAATACTTTTGTAATGGTTGTCTGTTTTTTGTTTAACTAAAAAAAAAAAAAAAAAATTAAGCTTTATTAACTGGCAAGGCTTTGATTGCACTAATTAAAAAAAGCTTACTTGTTGCTCAGTCTTTTCAGAGTATCTATGTTCAATCTTAAAGTGTCTCCATAAGGCTGTTGTAGAATTGCTAGTCTTTACTTAGTATCACAAAGCTTTTTATCTGCTATTTCAACATTATACTGATCATGCTGAGTATTATCGACATATATTTCTTCAAACCACTTCCAAACAGGGCTACGAAGTAAAGATCTACCAAATTTAGATACTTTTGAGCTTTTGAAAGTATTGCTTGATTGTCCAACTGATTCATCTTGCATATTAACTTTTTGACACTTATATAAAACTCGTTTGTTATTAATATCAACTAAATTAGTCTCATCATGTTCAAAAATTCTTGTGTTTTTTTTTTCACATATGTATATTAAATCGAATGCATTTCTCATTCCCGATGCTGCTTTTAAATCATAATTATAAAAAGGATCAGGAGGCTGTTTTCATAACTGAGAATATGAAACTAGAAGTAGTATTGCCACTTTTTTTTTTTTTTATTTAAATGTTTTTCATGCTTACTAATTGATGATTCTGAGTAATAGTTAGAACTAGTAGATACTGTTTCTTCCTCTGAGTTTAATTCTAACCTATATTCATCAGTTTTATAACCTGAGTAACTGTCTTGTAGTGCATAATCTTGTGATATGTATTTATTAATTTTATTGCTCTGCCAAACTCTTTTTGATATTTCAACGCAATCTGTCTCTTGATTATATGTTTTTGAACTTATTACTCTTGTAGTTGCTAACAGACTATCTATGTTCTAAATAAATTAATATTATTAATGAAATGAGCAGAAATTAAATAAAATATCAATTTTAAACTAACCTTTTCAAGGTTTTTTTTTTCTTTTTTTGTCTCCCTTTTATGCTAACTTTAATATTTTTATTTCTTTTTTTTTCCTTTTTGTTCTTTTCTTTTTTTTTATATTTATTTTTTTAAGAATAAACTAGTAGCCAAATCTTGAATTGATTAGATAATATAATTATAGTTCACATAGTTGTTAGTAGAATTGTAATTATAGAATCCTTCATTAGAAATGTTGAAAAGACGATATTGATAGGAGAAAATATAATGATAAGGATCTCATGTTTAAATTTTGCTATTAATGTAGTATGAACATACATATGTTGGGTAAAACGTGACAATAGTAATTGATTTAAAAAAAATATAAAATTAGTTCTAAAACTTTAAATCATATTAAATAAGAAGTTAATTAATATAATTTGGCACTTTGTACTATATTTAAGTTACGAAATATTTATGACTGATCAAACCTCTATAATCGATTAAAGTCTTGTAATCAATTAAATTCCTATGATCGATCATGCTCAAGCAGAATTTCTAGATTGGTCACGATCAATTTGACTGAGTGATCAATCATCTTATAACTGATCTTTATCTCTATCTCTAAATACTTATTTACAATTATAGGCTATTATTTAATAAAAGTAGAAGGTTTCAAGGTCTCCAGGCGAAAGGTAACTAGGACTAGCTAGATACTGGAAAAGAACTAGGTCAACTGACTAGTGGAGGACCACAGTAGAATCTAGGGTTGTATGAATATCTACAAGGGTCTAATCTAGGTAATCTTATAAAATGAGTATAGGCTGCTCTAGTAGGTTTGCTTCGAGGTTAACTGGCTCTATAATACTAGCAATGTGTCTGGTATAGTGTATTCTAAGAGGATCTAAGCTGATTTGAGTAAATGGAGCTGTAACAAGCTAGCTGGCTTAAGCAGTTAGGTATT